TTCCTAGACAGATATTAAAAGATTGCCCAACCCAAACTTCCCAAATTACCTTAAAGAACAACCCGGGTCAACTGGCCAAGCCATTGGATCATTGACCCAAATTGAACTCCTATTTGGGCCTTTGATATGTAGACCAATTACAACGCTTATGGCCCCAAATTAGAGCTAAACCAAATTTTTCCAAACAAAGAAACTTGGAACTAACAACCGAAACAAAAAGGCAAAATTAAAGAACTAACCAATCTAATTTCGTAACTGCAAATTAATTATGGACCTAACTTCATTAGATAGGCAATTAAACTGATAATGAAACATTACAGCTTATTAACACAAAAATTAAAAACAAAAGAACTGAATGGATCAAGAAACTTAGCTAGTTCAACTAACAGAAGAACAGAAAAGGACCTAGTTCAAAACCAGAATACCCACATGAACTTTGACCAACCCAAAAGAATGGGGATGAGGAAGAAGATGAACCGGTTGAATAAAAAAGAAAAAATCATAAGAGATGAAAAAGAACTTACCCGGCCATGGTCGAAACCAAACGGAGACAGAAAACTCAACCAAACTTATGTCGAATCTGTTGTTCTTTGTCAAGAACAACTGAATCGACATCAATTTCGTCAAATCAGGCTCTCGAACTTCGAAAGAAAACATTGCATGCTGCCAGGTTTGAAAGGAAATGATTTTGAACTTTTGAGTTGAACTCGGATTTAAGATTCAACGAGTTCAACGCTGATTCGAAGGGTATGAGTTAGGGGTTTGGAGAGAGGAGGTCATGGTGAGTATGTGGTGTGATTTTGGCGTCGAAAGGAGGTGGCGCCGCCACCCCATGGTGGTGGGAAAAGGGGGTGGCGGGCTAGGGTTAACGCTCGTCTACGATGAGAAAGATGAGTGACAGGGGGGCTGGCGTTTGGACATATAAATATCAGAAGGACCCCCACTTCCGGACCGTTTGATTAGATAAAATCAACGACCCAGATCGAGGGGCATTCACGAGGTCTTTTTGGTTTTAAGGAGAGGCAGACCGTTTGGTGTGGGTTTTGGGCTGGGTCTTGTCCGGGTTTGAGGGAAGTGGGGGGAAACGTTTGGGCCTGGGGTTTGGAAATCAAATCCAGCCCAATTCAGCCTTTATTTCCTTTTATTTGTTTTCCTTTCTTTTTCTTTTTTTTTTTCAAATTTCTTTTAGTTTCTTTTTAAAATTAAAATTAAAATAAACCTAAATTAATCACTAATTAAATTATCTTATTACGTTAATTAACTCTAAATAATATTTACCACGAATAATTAAAAACCAAATTCAAGGAAAAACTACCAAAATTCAAAATTAAAATTAAGTGCAAAATAAACTATTTTTGTGATTTTTCCATTTTTATGAAACAACTAATTTGTCAATTAATCCTAAAATGTAAAATTAAACCCTAAATACAAATGCAACATATTTTTTTATTTTTCATTAATTAAATAAAAATAAACATGCACAGACAAATGCAAACAATAACAAACAAAAATCTACGAAATTGCAAACAAATGAAAAAAAAGTATTTTGTTTTGAATTTATGGGAGTAATTTATATAGAGAAAAAATTACGTGCTCACAGAGCTAACACAAACACAATATTAATTCCAAGATTTCATAAATTTAGGGTTTCTTACTGATTTCTAGTTTTCTCTTTTGGTTTCTGAGTGCTTTCACTGCTTCGAGGTTGAAGCTTTGGGTCTTAAGCAATTAGAAGAAATCCTTGTTTGGTCTGCTGCCCTCGAGAAGGTCAGTACACTTCCAACTCTCCTTAATCATCTTATTTGAATGTTATGAATATGCTTGTTGTCTTCTGTTAACTATAGTCATTTATGATATTTGTCATTAGTATAGAAATGTTATCTCCAGTTCATGATAAGGTGTTGTTGATCTATGGTCATTTGTCATGTTTCTGAATATGTTTAATTGGTATTGACTAGACTGTTATATGACCTTAATGACTTTCATTTCTGAGCCTAAATAGTTTACATGGTTAAGTTTTTCCTTAATATGCCTCAATGACCTTCCATGCTTGTCTAAACTTCTGTCAATGGTTCTATTGTGATCTTTATTTGTATACATTGTTTTCCTGCATACTTGTGGTTGAGATTATTGTTTGGTAATCCTAATTGGGACAAAACTTGAAAGTTCATAATTTATATCCTCCACCATTAACTGAAGCATGAAGTTTAAGTGTTCAAGTGCTCTCCTTCCCTATATCTGTGTCTGTTAACTCCAAGAGCAGTTTCTGAGTTATCACTATGACATTCTTATGTTCATATCTAATTGTTGGTTGCATCTGTATGAAACAGTCTAGTTGAGTTGAACTTTCGTGAATATCAAGAACTCTGTTGTATATATTCTGTTAAGATTAAGTTATCTCTTTTCATAAAAATAGGTCATAGTTATGTTTGTTACAGTTGAATGTTAACTGTTGTTAAGTTGAACATAACCGCCTCATGTTTAGATGTAACTCTCAGTTGTATAAGCTGAATTAAACATGTTTGGTACATCACTTTTCTTGCCTTTAATCCCTTTATGACATTGCTGACTTTGTGAAGCTTACCCTATCTTTGCAAGATCATAAGATCATTTAAAGCATATATGTGTGGTTGATTTTAGATATTGTATGTATCCCTGTTTGTCTTCATGATCCCATACTTTGTTCGAAACTGCACTTAGTTCTCTCCTTCTTGTTAATCTGAATTGTATCTGGTCTTTAAATCATATGAGAAGCTCCTTATTACTATTGCCTGGACATAATGGTTTGCTTACGGTTAACACTATTCTGAGAATGTGATCATGTTGAGCACCTTTAGGAACTCCATGTTTGAACATGTAAACCTGTAGTCATACTAAGAGTCCTGATCATGTTCGGGTATCTTTGATAATACCTATAGAAGTAGCTAATCATGATTGTCTCTCTGGATCCTAGTTGATGTTTTTTTTCCTAAAGTTTTCAAGTGGTATTATCAACATGTGCATATGCTAGTGGCAAGGCTCGAGTTAACTAATATGTGGTTGATTTTATAAAACAGAGGCATTTGTATTGCTGCATATCCAAACTGTGTTTTCTTTACCTATCATTTGAATGTGATCCTAAGAATTTAGATCTTTAACGGTGGTATTATAGTGTTTCTGTTTCTCTTCCATATGTGTTTGAAATCTAACTTTTAGACTTGCTTAATATGTGTATTATTCATTTGGTATTAGAAATGTGGCCATAAATTGAAATTGTTCTTATGTCCTTATGTTATTTAGTTAGGGAGAAGTATACTTCTATGGTAGGTTATATTGTGGCATTTGGTTTACATTGAAAGAGCCTCATTGACATTTAAACCCATAAGAAAAATGAGTCGTTAGTAGTTGAGGGTATTTGGGAGTAGAGTTTAACTCTCTCTGACACAAGAATTGTTGTGGACCTTAAGACCCTTGTGAACTTTGAAGTGTCAGGAGATTCAAAGGAGGCATTGACCTTGAGTAGAACTCTCTCCTTAGCTCTTAATTCATTGACACTTGTTGTTCTTTAGGGGTTTAGTGTTTTTAATGACAATGAAATATTTTTAATGTAAATTAGTTGTCATGTATAACTACCACATTAGTATAAGTTTCTAATAGTATTTGAGTATTGATATTTTGTTATATTTTGCTCCAATCACTTGTTTATGTGTTTCATACATAATTGAACATGCATAATCTATATCTAATGACCTTTTTTAATATGTACATTTGTTTGGGTCTGCTGAGTTCCTAAGGAACTCAGGCCCAAGCCCAACACTGCTGTATTTTTCTGGAAGTCTGAAGTCAATTGTAGCTGCATCTTTTATTGTTGGGCTAGCCTTTTTGAGGCCCAAATACAAAAGTCCAATCTATTTACCGTAAAAATGGTAATAACAATTAAATTTGATTTAGTGGTTCTAAAAATATGTGATCTATTTTTATGCGAGTTGTTAGGCAATTGATGATGTGAAAGACTTAGAAACGAAATAAGAACTTAAGAACGAGGTGTTAATCAAACTGAATCGCTGTCTATCGGGGCCTCGAGCTTGCCTATCCGAGGGCCTTGAGGTCGATTCTGAAGCTCAATTGGGAGCTATCGAAGGCGGTCGGTGGTGGATAACAGTTATAAATAGATCAAGGGTGGCTCTTTATGGTCAATAATAAGCAATAAATGATGAATAATGAATAGAATCACAATAAATGCGGGCAATAAATGAAGTAACAAGATCAAGAGAATATGTTAGAGAGCAAAGAGAATGTTCTTGTATATTTAGTATGGAGCAACAGATGTTTACAAAATGATAAGGATCCCCTTTATATAAGAGGGGGAACCCCAACATAGTATTACAAAGATATGGAGATGAGACATCTAACTAATGCCAAGATACAGGCTTAGACTAGCCTGACAGATCATGTCGGTTCCAGCTTCACGCCTTGGGAACTCCCCATTTTCTTTCCGTAACCGTCGACCTCATACAGTCCCGAGGTCGAGCGTCGATGGCTCTCGAGGGATGAAACTCGACCGTAATTTCGAGCCTTCGCGGTGTCCTAACGATGGAAAATTGGACCCTCCGATTTTACCGTAGGAAGGCCATCGAAAATTGGAGCCTCCAATTTTTACCGTGATTTCGAGCCTTCGGAGTATCTTGGCATCTAACTAATGCCAAGATACAGACTTAGACTTTACAAGATCATTCGGGGTGTCCTAATGATGAACTTTATTATCTTGATTTTGGGCCCGAGCTCAGCACGGATTTTGAAGAACTAGTATATATATATATATAGTAGTTATAGGAAGTTAGTAGCCATCAAATGATAGTGATTTCCGAAAATGAAAAAATAATTAAATAAAAGGCAAAGGCTTGAAAGCCCAAAAAAAAAAAAAGGCAAAGGCCGTATAGAGACACGTGTTCGGTCTGGATTTCATGCTAACCGACTCTTCGCATCTTGTAGTAATAGATAATGACAATCTAGGGTTTCGTGTTCCACCATACGCGACTTCTTTCTACATCTCTCATCAAGTTTTCTCTCTCTAAAACTAAGACTTTTCTCTCTCTAAATTTTCTAGCTTTTCTGTAATGGAAACGGAACGTGTGACCGAGTTCCCGATGACCCATCTGGATCGTCGTCCAAGAAAGAGGGCGCGTTTGGGCTGGGACGTACTTCCTGAGCAGCCTAAGGTACAAGACCTGCTCTCATCAATCTGTTTATTTGTTTGCCTTTGTTTTGCTAGATCTGATCAAGATTAGGTTCCTTTTCGTACTAGGTATGGTGAAAGTTCAGTCTTTTTGTGTTTTCTGCTATATATGGTGTTATTACCGTGGCTGCCTCTGTTTTTGGCTGGATTTTATGTTTCAGGGTGTGATTTTGTGTGCATCGGTGGGGAAAGATTCCGCTGGTTTTTTTGTTCTATCTGATGTGTAGCTTAAGTTGTCCCGCTGGTTCTTGATGAGATTTTCTAATCTTTGAATATCTTTATGAATTCTTATGGTTTTTGCTGATTAATTACGTGGGGTTCAATTTTTTGAGAATTGGTAATGTGGTTTATGTTTTTAACTGTTGCATATTCACTTGAAAAAGGTTAAGTGTTTAGAGGCATTTACCTTATCAAAAAAAAAGGTTAAGTGTTTAGAGGCAGATCCCGGACTTAGGAGTCAGTGGATTTGTAGTGGGTGCAGTCTAGTCTATATTATTTATGTATATAGAAGCACACTTATACACAAATTTTAAGTTCTTTGGTATATGTATAACATGATTGAGGGCTGGCAATATTTTTATATATTTTGCTGATGAATTGTGAAGATATTTCAGGTGTATTGGTTTTTCCCAAGAGCAGAGCATTCTGCTTCTCTCAATATGCTGTATGTTTTTGTATTTATGTAAATTTCCCTTCCTTGGATTTCCTAATAACTGTTGTTTGCTGTTAGCTTTATAGTTAGTTCCGGTTCAGGTTTTGTGGGTATTGAAGAGGTAGATTAAAAAATTAGTTCTATTTAAAAAAATGTGAATGGAAATCCTGTGTGTAGGCTCAGCTAGAATTGTTTTGTGGACAAGCGTTTGGGAATCTGACAAGCCATACGACTTCGAGGCAACCTACAGACCTTACTGGTACACTGGTTGTTAAGGGGCGAAATGGTTCTCCCCCATGGAGGAATGATGACAAAGGCGGGCATTATACATTTGAGCTTGGAGAAAATTTAACATCACGCTGTAATTATCTTTCACCACCACCAAAGAATACTATTTATTATTTGTAAGCCGTGGTTACTCTGACATGAAAATTGCTCAATACACTGTCATTTTACTATGAACTGATGCACAAATAGCAAAATTGAGATTATCAGTTTTCATCATTTTTATTTACTTCCCTTGTTTATTGAGGTGTCTTACCAATTAGTCTTGTTTACTTTGCTTCAAACTAAAAAAAAGGGTTTACCAACAAATGCATATTAGTAATGGTAGCATTTCTTATGAATTTGTTCCCCGTTATAATCTTTATATAACTTCTGATTTTATTTCAATGTAGACAAAATCCACAGTAAAATGGGAGAAGGTACTTTTGGCCAGGTTCTAGAATGCTGGGACCGTGAAAAGAAGGAAATGGTGGCCATTAAGATTGTTCGGGGCATTAAGAAGTATCGTGAAGCAGCTATGATTGAGATTGAAATGCTTCAACAGCTTGGTAAACATGACAAAGTTGGCAATTGGTGAGTGTAGCCCCCTAATTGTACTTTTACCCTAATAATCCATGTTCTTGACTCACTCGTGGGATTTTGTTATTTTTCAAATGGTTGAACTGGTTTGTTCCTTGCAGTTGTGTGCAAATACGGAACTGGTTTGACTATCGTAATCATATCTGTATTGTAAGTATATACTAGTTGACTTGAAGGATTAATTTTCCCGTTGACAAATGTTCTGGGGATTAAGATTGTGGATGAACTTAAATGGTTTGAACAGGTCTTTGAGAAGCTAGGACCAAGCTTATATGATTTCCTACGGAAAAACTATTACCGCTCATTTCCCATTGATCTTGTCCGTGAGATTGGCAGACAACTCTTGGAATGTGTAGCATGTGTGTAATAAAAATGCTTTATCACCTTTTTGCTTCTTATCATACATGTAATTTTAAATAGTAGCTTAAAATTTCTTTTGTAAAATTTTGCCTCACTATCATGGCCAAAACTAGGCATATAACTTATGCTCATGATAGGACAATCTTGCATTTGCTGCTTTTAATTCTTGCATAAGTTGATTTTTCAAATAATATGAATTCTTCTGAACTTTCAGTTATGCATGATTTGCGTCTCATCCACACTGATTTGAAGCCTGAAAACATTCTGCTTGTCTCCCCGGATTATATTAAAGTTCCTGACTATAAGGTAAAAATTGGACGCTGTGGACAACTTGGAACTATTTTGTGCTTGGTTCCGCACTTGCAATGGTGGATGGTTAATGTTTTTTTTCACTATTACCTAAAGTTTTCTTCAAGGTCACCTACAGATAGTTCTTACTACAAAAGAGTTCCAAAGTCAAGTGCTATAAAGGTAATCGATTTTGGGAGCACAATATATGACCGTCAGGATCAGAAGTATATTGTATCAACTCGTCATTACCGTGCACCAGAAGTTATTCTAGGTAAGAATGTCTTTGCATCTTGAAGATATCATAGCATTTTGTGTCTCTCTGTTGTTGCTTGCACACTTGTTAGTGTGGTGATTGCAAGTATTTTAATTTACTTTCAAGGTCTTGGATGGAGGTACGCATGTGATATATGGAGTGTTGGCTGTATCCTCGTGGAATTATGTTCGGTATGTTCTTTTCCTTTCTCATGGATAAACTTTGGTTTGTGTATTATAATATATAGGTGTAGGAGGTAATAAGTTTGTGTACTTGGTTCAGGGAGAAGCATTGTTTCAAACTCATGAAAATCTAGAGCACCTTGCTATGATGGAGAGGGTACTTGGCCCCCTTCCTCAACACATGCTAAAAAGAGTAGAGTAAGCCCTCAGTTTGGTCTCTCGTGAAAGATTTAACCACAGCTTTGCGGAAGTTGTTAATTGTTTCCTTGTTATAATCAGCCGGCAAGCAGACAAGTATGTGAGAAGGGGACGTTTGTACTGGCCTGAAGGAGCATCATCCCGTGACAGTATCAAAGCTGTGTTAAAGCTTGCTCGCCTTCAGGTAACAATGATGATAATTTGTAGGCTGTAATCTTATAAAGGGTTGGTAGGTGGACTAATTTGCTAACTAGCAGTTGATGTGACTACTGTAGAATATAATTATGGAGCATGTGGATCATTCAGCTGGAGATCTTATTAATCTCTTGCAAGGACTCCTTCGTTATGATCCATCTGAAAGGTTAACTGCTCGTGAGGCCCTGAGACATCCTTTCTTTACGCGGGGTCATCTGAGTAGGTAAATTGGATTGCACTTTATCCTGAAAGTGCGTGCTCCTCACGTGATGCCTGGTTAATTTGCTTTTGGACAATCTGATGTAGTGGAGGGATTCGTGCCAGTTTCTTATTGGCAGTCTTAACGTGTTGGCGAGGCCCCCATGTAGATACTATTCATTTATATGTTTCTTGCAGTTGGTGATGCAAGTCTGCCGATTTTGTGCCTATATGTATATTAAAATTGAGCTCTCAGAATATACCTAGTATGTAGTTAGATTGAAAGTTGGCGTGCTAGAAAAGACTGGAAGCTTAACTGAGTATATATTTACCCTGTTTCCATAATGAAATGTGTAGTTGAGCATGGTGCATTCGGGCCTCCGATGATGATTGACAGGTAATGGATAATGTAATTTTATGATGTTCATATCAATTAACCTTGTTGGCACTGGGAGATGTGATAAGGGGATGGCAGTTGCAGGCAGCGTTTGCTATGATGAAAACCGAAGACCACAATAAAGGTAAAATGCGTCCTCGTGTTTCTTTTAATGGAAACATAGTAAAGGAAAGTCAAAGACCTTAAGCGAGATTTATATTTTGTTCATGAGTAACAGGTGGAATTGAAAAAACTTTAACACGCATTTTACTTGTACTTAGAATTGACTCTTTTTCTGTCACGATTGTATAATCTTCTGAACAGGAAAATAATAAGTTTAGATTTTTTTTCCTTGCAAAGGTCCTACCCGCCCTAAATATTTTCTCTTAATATTTATTTTTCTTTTGCTCACAATTTCATCGTTGAAGTTTTTTTCGTTTCTTTTACTAACAATAGAGGCATTTTATTCACAAGTGAGTAAGGAACTCATACAAAAAGAGCGACAGAGGATTGGAACTGTTTTTTTAAGCATTTCACCAGTGAATAAAGAAAAAGACCATAAAAAGATGTAATGCGATAAATTTTAGGGAAAATTTCAAATAAGAACAATTGGGATCCTTACTTTTTAATTTTATAGCTCTTATTTTAATTTATAACTAACTAGCCCAAAAATAATAGGTTAAGATTCAACATTTAACTCTGATAGGTTCTTAAAATTACTATTTAATTTTTAAGAAAGATTGTTTAAACTTTTAAGTTAATTTTCGAATCAATAATTGTAACTCAAATATTAGTTCAACAAATCAAATCCATTTGGGTGGTGAAAATTAGATTTTTAACAAGCTTAAATATGTGGGTTTAGATTTCGAATTTGATTTTGTGAGAAATTTGGAGTGTGTATTATTTAGAATTGTTAGAAATAGTAAAAGGAGGTTGTATATAAAATTTGAAATCATTTAATGGAGATTTGGACTGATTTTGAACAAGAATTGCAACTGAAAATCGTGGAAGAAGTTCGTCTACAGACGCTTGTATAAAGGTGTATAAAAGTGTATAATAGTGTATATATACACTCATATACACTATTATACAAGATTATACATAATTATACAAAAAACTGACTTCGTCTTATTCCTTGCGTTTTTTCTGAAATTTAACTCAAATCTTGCTCAAATCTACTCCAAATCACTTCAAATTTAAATATTGAACTCCTTTTGATATTTTCGATCAATTGGAATAACATCCATCCAAACAACTAACAAACTCAAACAATCTTATTTTTGAAAGCAAAGTTTTGAATGATCTTCGATGGTGGATGTTGAATTTTCAATTTTCTTATTGCAACCAGGTGACACAGGGGAGAAGCTGTAATGGCAGACGACCCCTTGAAATATATGTAGAAGATGTGAGAATAAAAGACAGTGAAAGCAATGATTTTGAGAACATGGATTTAACTCCATAGCTTTTAGAAGCAATGGTTTTGAGAACATAGATTTAACTCCATAGCTTTTAGAAACAATGATTGTAAGAAACATATTTTGAATTTGCTAATGCTTTCAAAATATATACAATATAGGCTAGGTCGGGTAAAACTTAAAAATATGGGTCATTTTTTGTTATGGTGTGAAGTTAAGTGTATTTTCTTGTAATTCTTTCTAAATTTTACGTGCAAGTGAAAATAAAAATTCACATAATTAATGAAGGAATATTTTTGGACACTGTTTCGACTCGTAGCAGAACTATATTTCAAATTGTTAATGACGATTATGTATAATTCAGAAAATGACTCCATAGTTACAAATGACTCGCAGTTTGTAATGGGCTTTTTCTCTCAAATCGTGAGAGCGGTTTCCTCCTAGTGGGATATTCATATTTTATTTTAAAGAAAACTACCTCTACCCATGAATTTTTCACCCACGTTTCACATGCATCTCCCTCTTTGACTGCTCAGAAACGACCACTTTAATCTTATTCAAGCACTACCTTCTATAATACTCCCTCATTCAACCTATTTCCTTTTTGATTCGTTCCAAAAAGACTAAATCTTTTTTAAATTTGGTAACAATTTAGCTTAAAGTTACAACTTTACCCTTAATGAGAAGCTTTTATAACCACACAAATACTCTGGGTCCCATTTGAACTTGTTTAGGACCACAAATTCCAAAATTCTCCATTTTTTTCTTAAACTCCGTGCCCAGTCAAACAGGTTCACATAAATTAAAACGGAGAGAGTAATATTTATGTTTCTCCTTTGAAAAACAGAACAAGTGTATTCAATACAATAAGCAACATCTGCAGCACAGCAGAAAACAAATTGTGCAAGTTCAACTCCAACTGGAGTGTATGACTGTGATCAATGGCGGATGAACGGTTACACAAATTTGTGCTTACTGAAGAGGAAAAGGATGCTATATCAATTGACTTTCTGGATATTCAGCCAAGTATGAACGATTGCGAAGCAAGCTTGTTGGGTAAGGTAATCTCTGATAAAAAGGCAAATTTTAATGGAGTTAATAATGCGATGCATTTAGTTTGGGGAAATCCAGTGGGTCTGCAGATTAAAGAAGCTGGATGGAATTTTTTCCAATTCATATTCAAAAATAAGGAGAGGATGGAAAAAGTATGGTTTGGTGCACCATGGTTATATGATAGATACCTCCTTCCATGGGAACCAGACTTGGAAAGCTACTCGCCGGTTTTCAAAGTATGCAACATGTGGAATCAAGTTTGGAATATTCCTCTTCACTGGATGTCTATGGACGTGGGACGTAAAATCGGGCATGCTCTAGGAGGGGCAATCGACATTGTAATTCCAGAGAACGGAAGCAGAGAAGGAGCACACATGAGACTTAAGGTTATGATGAATATTAATAAACCAATACTAGGGGAAAACTGATAACTCTCGGTCTCGAAACAGATGAAAATCTTCCTTATGTTTGCTTCTATTGTGGTATGCTTGGCCATAATGAAAAAGCATGTGTGCAGAAGGAGAAAGATATAAGAATGGGTAACATAAAAAAAGATCAGTTTGGAACATGGCTTAGGGCAGAAAGTTATGGGTTTTCATCCGAAAATATCAGGCGCCAAGGAGGCAACAATAACAATGAAAGAAACACTTGGGTTAGGAACGACATCGTTAAAAGAGCTGAAAAGAAAAGAGATGTAGGAACCAGCAGAAACCTTCTAAACTTGGAAGAAGGGGCAGATTCAACTGATTCACAATATGGCAAAGGAAAGGATGATACTATGGGCGTCGGGCAACAAGATTCAAGGGGGATTGGAAGAGAATGATACTACACCACAAACTAAAAAAGATGTTATACTCCAATTGGATCAAATGGATGCGACAAACTATGGTTTGGGTGAGAAACAATTTGCTGGAGAGGATTATGTTGATGGGAAGGGTGTGAAGACATCACAAATCATAGAGAAAGGGCTGGAATCAAAAGGTTCGCAAGAACTATCGAGCGAAGAGCCTTTTTTTGACGACACTATAGGAGGACGAGAGGCGAGAATGTATTATCAGCTATCTAAACTTAAGGGATTATATTGATGAAGATACTTTAAGACAGTATAATGCAGTAGCCATAGAGCAAACCGGAACTGTTGCTGCTACTTCAACTGACGGCGTCGAAAAGATGAAAACGAGCAGTGCACAAGGTAGTGAAAATCAGGTTTGTGCGGAATCCTCCTTGAATAATAATATGTCCAGCACTCATCTTATAAAGAATTCTTCAGATATTAATAAATTAGATGCATCTTCTGAAAAGATCATGATTTTTAATGTGAATGAGCAAGGAAAAAAATTAAACAAACAGTGGAAACGTTTGGCCAGGAAGAATACTATTTCTGATGAAAGCCAAGGAGAAAACCAAATGGGTATAAATGAGAAAAATCTTGTGAACGTTGCTGTGATAGAGGAGTTGTTAGCAACTGACATGGAGCCAAAAAAACTAAAGCAAGTGGTGGAGCGGGAAGCCAGCCCGNGGGAGTCTTTGACAGTTCCCATTCTTAGGGAGACAATGAGGCTCCACTCCCCAAACTTGGTGTTTTCATGTGAAAAAAAAAAATAGAGCTGCTAGAGTTCCAAGATTACAAAGACAAATTGGAATGGCTAACTTTCAAGTAGTTGAGCTTGTTGGACTATCGGGTGGTTTGTGCTTGCTTTGGTCTGATGCTATTCAGGTTCGTCATTTTTCTTCATCTAGTTACTTTATTAAAGTTTTAATTAATGATAGCGATCATGAATGTGAATATTAGTGTATTTTTCTTTATCTAAGTACCGATAGAGTTACCAGAAGAAGACAATTTGATGAACTTGTAACTAAATATACTAAATGGGGTTCCTCTTGGACTATTGCTGGTGATTTTAATAATATAATTGACGACACGGGAAAAATTGGAGGACGGGCGAGAGAATCTTGGTCCTTTAATGATTTTAAAATTTTTATTTGGAAACTAAATGGAATTGATTTAGGTTATAAAGGAAAGCCATGGACTTGGTGGTGTTATAGGAAAAATGAGGGTGTGATTCAAGAACGACTGGATAGAACTTTAGGATCTCCTCACTGGAGAGCTAAATTTGATAATGCAAATGTTATTCATGTTGAAACTGAAGCTTCAGATCATGTGGCTCTTATTATTTCTACCGAAACTAGTCTTGTAAGAAAAAAGAAAAGATTTTACTTTGATAAAAGATGGTGTGACAAGGAGGAAATCACTGGCATGATTCAGAGAGCTTGAAATATTAATAATGTTAATGGGTTTGAACAATCAAAGTTTTATTTTAAGTTAAAAAATTGTAAATGTTCTTTAGTTGCTTGGTTAAGGGGTGGTAATGGAAATTCTAGGAAAAAAAATCTTAGGCATAAAAAAGATGATTGCGGAAGTTAGGGAAAAACCGAGTGGGCTTGATATGAATAAACTAAAAATGCTAAGAAAGGATTTAGACAAAGCATATAAGGATGAAGAAATTTATTGGGAACAAAAATCTCGAGCTTTATGGTTGAAAGAGGGAGATAAGAATACATCCTTTTTCATTTTGGGGTAGAGAATTATTAAAAAAGGGATTAAGATGGAGAGTTGCTAATGAGACGAATATGTATACTTGGAAAGATCCTTGGATTCCGAATGCTACAAATTTTAGACCTTATAGAAGTATTGTTAACGATAATTTTGACCTAAAAGTGACAGAGCTTGTTAATTTAGAATGTGGAAAATGAAAATTAGGAGAATTAAATAGACTATTTTGTGAAGATGATATAAATGCTATTTTGACAATACCTTTATCTACCGCTACTTCTAGAGATAAATTAATATGGCACTATACTAAATCTGGTAACTATGAAGTT